TGTTCATCAAATATGGAGGTGTAATCAGAATCACGTTGAAAAGTCTCGATCGACGTTTCTATGATAGGAGTCGTCTCGGTTGAACTGCTGTCTTTATTTTCAGAGTTCCAATCGCTTGCTTCTTCAGAGAGCGGGGAGTTGGTTAACCCCGGGCATACCGAAACAAATTCATATTGTCCAATTTCATCACGTGGGCTCAAAATAGAAGAATTTTTGACAGGTGAAACGTGATTGCTACCGACGGTAATACCGAGAGGGTTGTTGCTAGAACATTTAACATTCTGCCTACGCTTTCGTGAAGATAATTTTGAATTCTTCCACACAACTCGAATTGTTGATAGATCCTTTTTTCGGTTCTCAATCAGTTCTTTCTCTACTTCTTGAGCAATTTCCTTGTAAGCGTCTTTAACACATTTCGCCTCATTCTTCCAATAAATGCTAACTAACTTTGATACGTCGGTCATCTTGAGGTTATGATTGGAGCGAGAGAGCTGGTCTAAGAATGCTTTGCGATAAACCAAAAACGCATTTGGGCTCCTTAAATTTTGAGAAGGCTTTCGTCTGCTCAAAAAATCCGAAGCGGTGATACTCGGTGGCCAGGGAAGCCTGATTATCGGAGTTTCGTTGGTCATGTGAAAGAACTGCTCGTCTTCGCTAGTTGGAATTATTGCGTCACAGTATCCGAAAGCCATTGAGTAAAAAAAAGAAAAAAAAAAAAAGATGTTGAATGAAATCTTTTTACTGAAAATCAAGTGTGGTGAATCGATGAAGAGTATTTTTATAAGAAAAATTCGTCAAACATATATGGAAGACCCAAGAACTTATTAACTTCTTAGCGTGATCGGCAATGCATGCACACACGTTATGATGCATGTCCTTCCAAATTCAACACACAAGTGGCGCATTAAGGCGTACTTGGGTGGCGAATCATGCATATGACAAGACACGAAAATCACTTCCAAGACACGATCTCATCTTTTTTTTTTCTCTCAAAAGAAACCCCTAGTTAAATTTGGCTTCAATAATCACTTGTTAGCCAAACCTTAACGAAATTGTCAATTTTGTTTTCCCGATAACTTTCTAAAATAATGGTACAATGATGACATCTCAAATCACTTATTAACGTTTTGCCATGCTCTGGATTTCACGCACAAATTAAAGTTCGTGGTTGCCACAACTTTCCTTCGTACATGATCAGAAATTTGAATTTGTTTGCCAAATAAAATTGCCACCTCTGTCCTCCAACTTTTTGTTTTTTATTAGGTGACATTTTGAACGAAATTAACTTGTTATCCCAAGTGAACGTATGACCACTTACGAAAGCAAACAAACAAGTTGGAATGCATTCCAATTTGTTAACAATCCTGATAAACTTTCAAAGATATTTCTTTTGTTTCTCATTTTTGATTTCTTAATGTGACACACAAATAATTACGCGCGAAAATGATAATTTTCAATGATCCTTGAACTGCTATCCTGTACGATAATTTGGAGGTCGGATCAAAAACAATGTAAATAATTGGGCGACATCCATTCTTTTTCGATTTATGACCACACAAGGTTGATGAGCAGATATGTATGCAATTAAATGTAGGTCGACTCGTCTTGTCTTTCCTTTACGACTTTACCTTTACGTGTGACGTCACATAATTAATTATATTTGATCGACATTAAAGCATTCTCAGGGGATGAATGCTGTATTATTTTACAAATAAATACAAGACTATTTCAAATTATAAAGGGACGACGTCAGTCAACTAAAAATATATGCAGAATGGATAATTGGTTCTCGCAATCGTTTCTATCTCAAGCCTACGCGCATTTACAGTATGTATAAACATATTGTGCTACATATACTGTATACAGCTTTATTAAATAATATTTATAGGGGTCTATTTAAAAGGATGAAGAATACTTCCGACTTGTGACCGTGAAATTCTTTGTTCTTTGATTCTTTGTTTATTTCATAAATTCGAAGCAACCAATTATTACGATAAAGTTCGATCCAAGGCCCCTTAAAATATGAAAGCGCGTTTCGAACAATTTGTAGTTACATTTCATTGGTAATAAATAATCTTTAAAAAGTTTTTACATGCATACGTTGAACATTTGAAATGATGTTCTGATAAAATCCTTGATCAAGATTGCGTGACGATTCTAACTGCTGATGGTCTATTTCAGAACTGTTTATCGTTCCGCCCTTCACCTTTTGAAATTGCGCGACGTATTGTATTAAAATGTAACGTTACAATTCACTGTGATCCTATATTATCAATATTGTTTATGATGTGTTCACTAGAATATAATAGAAAGCGGTCCACATTAAAGGATGCGATAAGTGATTCACGGCGTCGGGGACTCGAAGGAGATTCCATGTATGGAAGAATGCTTGTACCCTTTGGTCTAGCTTGCATTTATATTTACCCCAATAAAAGAAACGATTCCGAATTAAAAAGAGTTTAGATTTTAATAAGTTCAAAAAGAGAATTGTGACTTTCACCACCATCAAACGATCT